CACCTAGAAAGCTATTCAGAATTGATGGTAATATCTGGCAGAACAGTTGCCAATCCTGATTAAAAAAAAAACACAGTCAGATTTACCATTTTTATTTTCACCCAGTCCATACAGGAGGAATCTTAATTTAATATATTAACATAACAAATTACATATGAAGTCATAATAATATGCTATTGTACTTTACAATCATCTTTAGTACTTCACTCTTTAACAATAACAGTGGCTTCAGCACAGAAGGTGCTTAACGCAGTAAAATAAACAAAAGCAGCAGGTCCCTGGCCCGAACAGCTTCAATTTTTATTAGCAAATAGTGTATATAATTTTAAATATTTAAAACCAATTACTTTCGATGAAATATGTATCTTATAAATGATAATCAAAATGTCACAAATTAATATAAACTATAATAAATGTCATTGTTTTCTTGTATATACAGGTTGTAGTACAAGATTTGTCATCGTTTAGTCGTTTCCGACTTTCTGTGACCCCATGAACCAGAGCACGTCAGACCCTCCTTATGACCCTTCAAATTCAACACATTGTAAATATACCCAATCTGTCAACAAATGGACCCTAATTTTTTAAAGAACTGATCTACTTTGCATTGAGGATGCTTCTTTTTCCAACTATGTGCAGAGAGTCACTTAGGGATTGATAAGAAGATAAAGGCTATCAGGAGCTTTGTATATAAGGACAAAGGATTCACACTAGATGAAAGCAGGGTAGGATACCTATCTATACAAAGATCACTCAGACTGCTTGAGGAACGGACCCAAGGTGCTGCGATTTGTGGATAATCACTCTTTGCTCTTCATCTCCAACACTGCTAGGTATTTGCTTGTTCCTCCTTAATGAAGAATGACTCTCAAAAGAGTTTATTTTCCTCCTACATTAAAAAAAAACTACTCTAGGTTTCCCATAGCTTAGTTCATCAATTTCCTTCAGTTTCTCACTTTAAACAAAGTTAATATACTGTCTAATTGCATTTTAACACTACAATCATGCAGGTACTGAGCTGCGATACAGAAGCAGCATGGGAAGGAAGTGATTACTGTATTAAAATCATTAAGGTACTATCAACAGAAGAAAACTGATTACTACAAAGCACAGACAGTTCTTTGGCCTTGATAGAAGCATGAGTTGCTGCAAGCGTTTCATGCCCACACTTAAGTGTCATGAGTATATTCCACTGATATTTTGCCAACTTCAATGTCTACTAGAGTAGACCCTTTCTGGGTGAAATTCAATGTGCTGATTTTAACCTTTAACCTTCAATATCACTGAAAGACTATAAGTGAATAGGAAATCCATCCTAGACATTTGATGGGGCATATCTTGATAGCATTTCAGAGCCAGACAAAAATCTTATTTTCATGTTCTTTCCTGTTTTATTAACCTGCCTTATTTTACACATTTTTAATTTGCTTTGATTTATGCAGCTAGCTACCCTGAGTACATACTTGCAGGGTTACATTTATATGCCTGATAAATTTCTAATCTTAGTAGCTGCAGATAGTAATGATTTACAAAATATTTTACATAGAAGGTTTGGTTCCGGTACTTCTTCCACCACGAATTAAAAACATAACTCAGGGCCCTATACTATTTCTGTCTTAGGTCACTGCAAAAAAGAGTAAACAATGGTCACTAATAAATAGACTGTGTTTAATGATTTTCATGAGAATTGGCTTATGGTAAGCCACCTAACACTGTAATAGCAACTCCACCCCAATCTTTGCTACGATACAATGGGATCTCCTGTTGGAAAATGCAACACATTTGTTATTACATCATAAAGCTGGATAAACAAAGAGAATCACATATATTCTCTCAAGAGAAACACAAGGAGCATTTTAAGGGAATGCATAGGACCAGTTAGGAAGCAAGTACAAGTTGAAGTAATCTGACATCAACAAAATCCAACCAGAATTACTGAGACACTGCAGCTTCATCATCAAAATGAGTCACTCAAGACAATGACCTTGTTCATTCAGCAACTTCAGAAAATCAAGGATTACCATCATTCTATAGATGTGATAAAAAGGCCTAGTGTGTGAATACACTGTACAACAGATACTTAAATAACACTCATTCCTTATGTACTTTTATTGCTATACTACATGGAGAAAAACTCAACCAACAACTGAACATGGAAGTTTTCAAGTCTGATTTCTGATCAACCATGAATTATATGGCGGTTGCCAAATCTCTAACCATCTACACTAAGCAGAAATGGGGGATATGCAGTGCTCCAGATACTGAACTGCAACTAATAGCCCTAATCATTACAGCCACTGACAGGAGTTGCAATATAACAGTATTTGGAAGAATATTTATTCCCAACCCTTGAATAAATTATCTCAGAGATATTTTTCCCATGTAAGTGCAACAAAGGTTCCTTTAAACCCTTATTTCTCTGACTGCTTCTAGAAAAAAAGCAGCCTTACAACTTGATGTTTTCCAAAATTAACTGTTCTATTAATTTTCATATGTAAAATTTATCTTTCTCCTACAACCATGTGTTGCATTTCCACTGCAGAATACATATACATACAAAGAAGTGGAGATAATGCCCAAAAAAACCCCCTCAAAATCTACTAAAGTATCAATGTGGCTTCTTCTCAATTAAAACCAGCTAAGAAAGTCCTACTGCTGCAGAAAAAGCTTTGAAATCATTTCTCCTGCACAGGCATGTTTAACATCCAAGCCCTCAGACACCTTTTTTGCAATTATCTATGCTAAACATGCACTGCCCCAGTTACTGTGAAGATCCCTAAATCCCCTCTTAATCAGGTTGTTGGAATGCCTGCTATTTTCACACAGCTCTAAAAAAAGGAGCTGTAGCCTGACAATTAAAAAACAACAACATACATACCAGTCTTTTCTATCAAGTCAGTAGTCATCTCTTGACCCAAATTTCTGCTAGCAGGATATGCAGCAGTAATGCAGTACTTCTTCTGAGACTAGGTTTGTTTTTATCCACAGAACAGGAAAAGAAAACCAGCCAAATTGTTTATTCATTTTGCGTTTTGGAACACAGCCACTACAAAATGCCGTGTGAAATGTCTAAACTTTGCAAGACACTTATTTTCTCATGAAACAGGAATATGAAAGGAAGTAGACTAATTTTGCATATGGGCATTTATTTCCAAAGGAATTAATTATTAATTATATTCTCTGTAAACAAAGGTTAATCAAGAGGCAATTTACAAGGTCCTCTCTCAAGACTCAAACAAAGCACCTAATTTATATTATGCAGAATATCAATTATATTCTAATTTTCTTATCAAATCAGGCCATCATCAAGAAACATCTATGGCTGTAAATATTTGAAACATATAATAAAAAAATCAACCTTCAACACTACCACTGCTGCATGCCACAGACAGTATCCTACATAAACCTGATAACTGTCAGGCATAGTTAGCACCATGTCTCTTTTTGCAAAGATCTGCTTGGGTCTGGCAAAGACAGCAACAAAACTCACAAGCAGGATTTACAGACAGTTGCAGACATGAACACCTGGCCCACCTCAAACTGTACATACATCACTCATATGATTATTCTTCACATCCAGAAAAGGATTTTTAAAAAGAGTGGGCATAAAAGGGACGCAGACACAACTCCATTTAAACACCCCAGCTGGTGGGGGGAACATTCACAAGATATGCAAGATGTTATCAAACTCCCACAGCTGGCATTGTCTGTTCTGCATCATTGCAGAAAGGGCAGAAGAGATAACCATGTTCCTTAGAACCCAAGATTGCTATTCTTTAAGCTTACAACATTTCCCCCAATTGTCCGTCAGTGCTAGGAGAGCAGCCTCATCTTATCTATCTGCCTTCCCCAAGCACATAATTTCATTCTATATGACAGGAAGAGGAGAAAGGACAGGCCTATGTTTTTCTGAAGGTACCCTCCATTCAAAGACTGAAGTATTCAACTAAAAGTTAGTTTGCCCTTATGACTCTCCTCAGCCTAACACAGTGATTTCTACTACAAATAGACTTCGTTTCCTGCCAGTCTCATCCTCTGAAGACAAAAAGCAAAACTCCTAGACCATATAAGCAAAACACTCCCTCCACAAACAAAACGCACCAAAAGATCCTCATTTTTATGTAAGATGTGTTGGGGAGGACTGGTGCACTCTGTATGTGTTAGAAGGACTTACACAATAACTAGCCACTTTGAGGCACCTCTCTGGAAAAGCTTATTATGCAAGGATTCTCTCTTTATCCTCAGAGGGTGGGGGCAGGGCAAGGGGAAACAGTGCAAACGAACCCTCTCATTAGAGGAAGCATTGTGTTGGGCTGGGGTGAAAAGGAGGTAATTTCAAACTGAGCTCCGATATTCAAATATGTAGGTGAAGGAAAGGGGCGAGGATTAAAATACAGCTACCGCTCCTCCTCATCCTAATACATTTTTCTGCCACCGGACAACAAGGGATGGGGAGGCCAAGAGTGAGTTCATTTTTCTTGACCCGCATGTTCCTCCTTAAGACAACGAGGGAGACGAGCGTACACCCCACATAAATGTGGATGTAAAACAGGTTGGGACCCTCAAAAACCAAACAAGTTGGGCTAAAATGTAAAGTGGAAGGGAAGGCATCCATCCCCAAACAAGCCCTCAAGGCTGAGCCAAGAGAACTGCCCTCCCTTCCAGCCTTGTTGGAGAAGGAAGTTGTTCCTCAGGAGCAGCCAGAGAAAATGAGGACTCACCCCACTCCCCTTCCCCGAAAACCTCGCCGGGAACGAGTGTGGACTGGGCAGCCCCTCATCAAAAGGCCTCCTCAACAAACCCGAGGAAGAATAAAAGAGGGAGGAAGGGCAGTTGAATGAGGGACGCCGCCACTGCCATCTCTCTCCTCACCACCCCCACCCCCACAAACCTACGAGGACGTAAGAAGATGAAGGAGCCACAACTGGGCACCGCCCAAGCCAGCCTGCCCGCCCTCCCCCCACACACCCGCCCGGCCCCCTGCGGCCAGCCTCGGATACCTGGAAGTCCCTGTCCTCGTTGAAGCGGGAGAACCTGTCCGCCATTTTGCTTCAGTTCGCCTCTACCTTAGTCAGGAGACTGCGACGAAGACGGGCCCCGTACGTACATGACGTGCGCGCACCCCAGGGCCGGGGACCCGCGCAGGCACTCGACTTCCGGGGTTCTTTCGCCGCCTTGTTGTGCTCTCTTTCGCACACGAGAGTGACAGCTGCTCTTCTCCCCCCCCCGAAGGAAACAAAAGGGCAATACAGTACTAGCCTTTGGGCGTGATCCGGGTAGGAGCGCCAGCCCGGCTACCCCCCCGACTAAAAAAAATTGCAGCGAAGATAGGACGGTCTGCTCTTTCGAACTCGGGTCTTTGCTTTGTCCCCAGACGGAAGATTGTGGTCTTTGTTTTAGGTTTTAAAAAAACGCTGAAAAGAGCAACGTGGTTGCGTGCGAATCCGTTGACGCGTCCGATTTCTTGATAGCAACTGAAGTGCTCTAATCGGGTTGAGAGGATGATCTCCATTTAAGTAGACTGTCCTTTGCTGTAGCCTGGGAGCCGTTTTGTATGGGAGATACTTGGCTGGACATCTAAAACCTCCTCAAGGCTCATTTTCTAACTTCTTACAATATTAGCAATGAGCTACATGACGTCATTCTTACCTACAGTCCTCCAGTTTGAAATGCAGGGTGAGATCAGCAGAAGCAGAAAATACAAGTTTTCAGAGTCCTGTACCCGTGTCAGTGTGTGGTGGAGGAAACGACAGGGTCCTGTGCCACTTTAGACCTGCAGAGCTGGGAAGGGATCCTATAGATCATCAAGTCCAGCCCCTGTCAAGGAGGCACAGTGGGGGAATCGAACTCCCAACCTTAAAGACTGTAATGCACTTAATTAATGCACGAGCATTATATAGCCCAGTTCATCTGATGAGTGATCGATTGATTGGTCGAGGAGACTAAGCTTAAAACATTGACGAATTTATTTTTCAAGAAAAATGGGTCAAGAAAAAAAAAACTTCCCTCTGTGTGTGTGTTTGTGTGTGTACCTACCTTTTGCTTCGGGGCTACAGGCTGTGATCTAAATAAAAAAAATGGGTTCAGCACTGTTTTCAATAGCTCACATCTCCTCCCAGGGCGACAAAGTATTCAGGCGTTCAACGTAATCCCTAACAAACCAGGAATTCATTGTGATCATGGAAGTTCCGATTTTAGGGGGCATGGGATTTTCAAGGTTAAACATGTCCCTATCTTTACGGTTTTCCCCCCACCACTACCACCGACTTCAGAAATTTGGCCATCGACTTCTGGACATGAACGCGCATTCTATTGATTTATTATTTTATTTAGTAAACAAGTGTATGCCCCGTTGCTAGATGGTTTGATCTCACCGCCTCTCGTCTTCATTACAGAGAATCTACCAAAAGACACACCCTGCAATTCTACCGCCATGGAGGAAATTCCATTCAGGAAAAAGGTGGTTACCTCTAAGTAAACACACGTAAAATTTGCAATCCTGTCCCTACACTTTTACTTTCGAGGCATTTAACAAATTCCTTTCGCGTATCTGACCGCTAGAGGTCGCTTTAAACACAAAAAAATTCTCTCCAGCTTTCTGCTGAGGCTATCAGATACTGTACAGTAATTCCAAATTCCAAATCTGGCTGTTCCCAAGGATGGTATAAACTCTGTCGTTGGGATCAGACATTAAGGCTGGCTGTCGTCAACAATGGAATGACTCCCCCTTTCTTTCTTTTGGTTTTTTGAGGAAGGAAGTCCCAGGCCCAAACTGTCAATGATGTTTTTAAGCAAGAAATAAAGGGCTTTATTTTTTTTTTAAGTATTGATTTTATTTGCTGTTCCCACCTAAAATTCTGGGCAGGTAGAACCATTTATATATATATCAAGAAAAATCATAATCTAACCAAAATTCAGTCACTTTTAGGCCACATTGATAGAACAGGCCACAAGTAGATGGCTGCTTAACTTTTTCACATAATTCAATGACAAACCTAGACAGCATCTTAAAAAGCATAGACATCACCTTGCTGACAAAGGTCCACATAGTCAAAGCTATGGTTTTTCCAGTAGCGATGTATGGAAGTGAGAGCTGGAGCACAAAGAAGGGTGACCGCCGAAGAATTGATGCTTTTGAATTGTGGTGGTGGAGGAGATTCTTGAAAATCCCCTGGACTGCAAGGAGAACAAATCTATCCATACTGAAGGAAATCAACCCTGAGCGCTCACTGGCAGGACAGATCCTGAAAGTGAGGCTGCAATACTTTGGCCATCTCATGAGAAGAGAAGACTCTCTGGAAAAGACCCTGATGTTGGGAAAGTGTGAAGGCAAGAGGAGAAGGGGACAACAGAGGATGAGATGGTCACCGAAGCGACCAACATGAATTTGACCGAACTCTGGGAGGCAGTGGAAGAGGAGGGCCTGGCGTGCTCTGATCTATGGGGTCATGAAGCGTCGGACAGGACTTAACGACTAAACAACAAACAACAACAATTTCCATAATTGCTGTCTGTTGACCAAGCCTCTTGTAAAATTCTATCCTTCCTGTGATTCCCACTCAGATAAAAGTTTTGGATTCCTTTGTAACCCCATACCTTCTGCCAATAGGTCATGAACCACCTATTTCTCTATTTTCCCTCCCACTTCTTTGTACCATGAAGCACATATTCTTCTTCCCTTTTACTTCTTTGTACCATGAAGCACATATTCCTCTTCCCTTTTCCTTGTGTAACCAATGTTATAAAAGTTCTAGTATTCCTGTGTAATGCATGGGTATTCCTGCCTATACTTGGAGGCATGACTTCCATCACACTTTTTATCTAGCTAAATAAAAACAGCAACCATTAGAACTCTCTCTCGAGTCAAGATTTATTGGCAATTAATTTTGACTTGGAAAGTCTAGGGGCTAGCCCGGACTCAACAATAACATTGTTGTTATGTGCCTTCAAGGTGCACCTGAATTACTGGTGACCCTAATAGGGTTTGGAAGGTATACGAGATATTTAAGAAGCAGGCTTAACCAGTGCTACCCTCTAATGAGTCTGCATGGCCTAATGGGGATTTAAACCCAAGTCTCGTAAGTCCAGTCCAACACTTGATTCATTACACCCCACTGCATGTACTACTATTGGGCAAAATGATTGAGAAGACCATGACGTTCATATCTGAATAAAAGTGCAGAGTAGTGCTTTGTACAGCTCTCATTGAATGGCCATTTCCCTGGGGATATGGGTCAGTGGAATTTCTCAGTATACATGCGTATACAAGTTGTCTGGATAGCTTAGTAAACTGGAACACTAGGAATCAAGAGCTCAATTCCCCACTATGCCTCTCAGGGGGAAAAAAGCCTTTGTTCTAGAGTGTCCACAGAAGAAGAGAAGGGCAAACCATTTCTTAGCATTCTATATGTAGAAAACTCTGGAAACGGTTGCCATAAAATGGAATTGACTTAATAGTATCATCATCATCATCATCATCATCATCATCATCATCATCATCATCATCATTATGTGTAGGATTGGGATATGTGCCATAACCCAATTTTTAATTACCACTATCTGTGTACCAGTTAACAGGTTAGAATGTTCCTTTTGGAAGACTCAGTTCTCCAGTTCACATGGGCAGTGTCTGATGGATGCTGGAAGGTTACACCAAAAAAGTAACTTTTTCATGCTCTGGTAATAGTCTGTGTACAGTAAAAGCAGTGCAGTTCTCTTTATTTACTACAAATTTTCTGTCATGGCTTAAATATACTACCTCGTGTAAGATAAATAACTCTGAAAACTACAAACTATAATGCAGTTTGGAAGTTACTATGAATGAAGCAAAATAAGATCTGAGTATTAGTTAAGCCCAGATGACTCCCTTAAGAGCCTCGTGGCGCAGTGGTTAAACTGCTGTACTGCAGCCAAAACTGCGCTCATGACCTGGGGTTCAAATCCCATGTAGCCGGCTCAAGGTTGACTCAGCCTTCTATCCTTCTGAGGTCGGTAAAATGAGTACCCAGCTCGCTGGGGGGGGGGCAATGTGTAGCCTGCATAATTAACTTGTAAACCGCCCAGAGAGTGCTTGTAGCACTATGGGGCGGTATATAAGCGGTGTGCTTTTTGCTTTTTAAATTTTGACATAAAGCTTCTTCTGACAAGAAGCATCTGGTAGAACGACTTTGATGCAGTTACTGTCATTTCTGCCTCTTTTTATTGTTGAGCATTTAACTTGGTTGTTGCAAGGTGAAGAATACTATACTACTGTAGCATCTGGGTAGCAGCAATCATCTTAGCCAGACAAGTATGCATGGTATACTGGATGGTTTCACTCAGAAGCTTAACTTGGGTTTTAACCAAGCATTTTCCTTGCTTTGATCATACTATGTTCTTAGATTTTTAGTATGATTTTGATCATACTATGTTCTTAGATTTTTAGTATGATTTTGATCATACTATGTTCTTAGATTTTCAGGTACTAATTCCATTTGTCACCTTTTTGACCACATCCATTGTGATGTTCTAATTATGGCTCTTTTGCTTTAATTATATTTTTAGCCTTCTGATTGCCCATGTTTTCAGAATTTTTAAAAAATTAAATACTAAATAAAACATTCTTATAATAAAGAGAATCTATTTTGTAGCCAGTATACCCAGGTCGTAATCCTATCTCAGTTGTGAGAGGCCCCTATTCCTTTTGCTCTTCTTTTGCCAGACAAAATTCAGTGTGGCGGGTATGAGATTCCTGCATTCATCATGTGTTGGTTGGTATCTTTTATACATAGCTAAAGTGGAAACTTTGTCAGGGTCAGCATGATAATTGATGGGAGTGTAATACGTGTAGCAGTGCCTGCCCTGGCTTCTTTACGTATTTCATTTGCCAACCTGTTCACCAAATGAAAGCTTCCTTGGTGAAATGACTTTTATTAGGCCATGTTTTATTTATAGCTGCCAACTGAAAAACTGTGGGGCACTCTGTCTTTCTGTGAAATAGATACCTTGTTATAGCTGTATATTTTGTGACAGCTGTTTCAAAACTATCCCCTCAAGCGTCCATCTTGTGATAAGGCAAACAAGATGTTCTCAAAAATCCAGATATATATATAAAAGGGAGACTCAACTTTTGTTTGAGCTGATATAGAAGCGTTTGGGGACACTGCATTATTGAAAGAAGTTGATTCTAAAAATAAGGTAGACTAGAGAATGATAAA